TCTGTGGCCATGTCCTGGGTATGCCAAGGCCTGAGTAGACAACTTAGGGCCAAAGGTATGATGAAATACGATGAAGTTGAGAATGATGATGATAACGAAAAATGAAATGAAATTTTTGGTGCCATGTATGCCAGACCGATGGAATGGCATACGAGAACAAAATGAGATGATTCGTGAGGGTATGGGTCATGCCTTCGCTGTGCCAGACACCGGGAATGGCACAGCACGAAGTAAGATGGAGATGAACGTGAAAATGAGTGTATCCCCCAGCTGCCCGCGCCGGGGCCCACCGATGCGAGCAGGTACTTTTTCACGGGGTTGGGGAGGGGGGTCTTCGTTGACCAGGACCCCTGGTCCCCTGCTGCCAAACGAATGGTATGGTTCCTGGTCAGGTTCGTCACGTGTCCTCAGACGTCCCTTAGTTTAGCTGTCAGGGTGTAACAACAACAACAGCAACAGCAACACCACCAACATAATTAGCAGAAGCAGCAACAAGAACATCAACACCAGCAACAGCAACAGCAACAACAGCAGCAGCACCACCAACATAATTAGCCCAAGCAGCAACAACAACATCAACACCATTAACAGCAACAGCCACAGCCGGACCGAACTAGGCCTAACCAGGCTAGGCCAAGCCTAGGTCGACACGACATGAGTGACTGAGCCTTTTCACAAGTGCTGTGCTCCCTGGCAGCGCCTGCAATACTCGACGCACCTAGCTCAAGCTGGAGATTGGGAAGGCCACAGCATGCCATGATTGCATTTGCTATGTTCCATGTGACTCTAAATGGCTGGGGACGGTATAGCTTCCCGCGATTTTGCTTCAGCGGCAGGGTTGGATGACTTCTCGTGGCGGCCCGACACAAGCGTGGATACTCTGAAGCCACAGAAGGAGCAAAGATTTGCTGACCGAAAGGGGATGGTGCAAGTGATCATGCGAGAGATGCAGACAGGGAGCTGGACTGAAAAAACACTTAACGTCCCATCAGGATCTGCGCTTGAGGGACTTTCGCACGGCTTGCAGCTTTTCGGTTTTGGAGCATGAGCAAGCAGCACTAGATTTGAACTTTGCGAATTGTGCTGGCGACCGGTTGAGTTACACATAACACTACTGTTGACAAACGCGGCGATTGATGCCAGAACGAAGCATGTGCAAAGAAGAGATTATGGCTTCAGGCCTGAGGCTTTGACTGGTTGACATCTGAGTTTTAGCGTGCAGTCCACTCCTAACGTGAGCAGATGGCTGAGCGCCTGAGCTCCGATTCCTCGCAAGTGCCGCAGGCGGGTAGCTGACCGGAGAGCAGTGCAGCCAAACGAGGGATGCCTGACATGTTAACTTTTAGGGAGAGGACAACATTGAGCAACCAAGCTTCAATGGAGCCGAAGGATGCAGGAACTTACAACAACGCTTGGCGATGTCGGCACAGATAGCAGTCCTCCGGAAGTCTTCATTAAGTCCACCGGAGAGTCTTTGCGGCCAGGATGGCGCTCATCTTGCAGGCAGTGGCAGGGCCAAGCAAGAATCCTGACTGAAAAGCAGCCGTGCGAGGCAATGACCAGTTGATTGCAGCGCTTCAAGCGAGACTGAAGTGCGCCGAGCAATCTTGAGATGTTTCATTTTCCGGCTTTGGGGTCATTGATGCCTATCGACCTAGCGGTCTTGGAGGCGAGCTTTAAGCGAGCTCCGTGCTTGTTCGAGCCTCAGATTTCATTCGGTCAAATCCTACATCGCTGCAGTTACGAGCACTGAAGGCAGGCAAAGCGAGAATGCAACTGCGACGGAGAGGCCGCATTTCAGCTGTGATCTGAAGGACCCTGTGCCAGAAACATCTTCGAGCAGAGACCCGTCTATTGTCAACTTGCAAATCTTGGAAAACGAGCTGCCAGGATCATGCTGATGTTTTGGGGCCTCATCTTGAGGTTGACTTCGTGCCAGAGTTGCTGGTAGCAGCACGAGCCGCCCACGGCTGGCTAGGAAGCTTGCGTCACACCGAGCAGAACGACCAGGCTCAACAATGTTCAGGCGAGAACCGCGATACCTTGACTATGAATGTGCTTTTGATCGCTTTTCCGCTTCAACGTTAGTAAACCAAGGCCAACTCAACGCCTGCATCTGGCATGGAAGAGGCCAACAAGTTCTTGGGCCTTTGCACTGCGTCCACCTGCGTCTAGATCAGGTCGATCGGAAGCTCACAGAGGAGCTGAGCATGGCGAAGGCTTGAATGGATGGATCGGAGCTTCCAGAAGTGCAATAGTTGCATGCTTGTTCATTCCTTCAGGCGTTATTGATGCTGAACAACGTCTCTCTTTGCATGGACCTAGACGAAGGAGCCGAGGCCAGTCATGCTCCCATGACGGATATAAGTTTCATGCCATGCGCTCGCAGGTAGGATGGCAAACATGTGTTTGCAGTTTTCCTGCTGGCACAGGACCTAAGCGCTGCAGATGTTGTCCGGCTGAAAGGCAAGTTTCGAAGTGACTCGCTGTTTTGCTCGTGCAAGCGCAGAAGGGTGCTGAAAAGGATGTCTATGTCTTTAATGTGTTGTTAGTTGTGTTGTTTCTGGTTTCTTTCGTAGCCCTTGCCTTGCCTTCCGCTTTCGCATTTTGCTGCATGTGCGGTTTGCCGTTTTGTTATTCATTACCGAGCACATCGTGTCTGCAAGTGGGCATGGCTGCCCCGCTTTTAACCTTGCAAACGAAGAACCTCAGGCCGTTGAATCGGGATGCTGCAATACGGCAATAGCAGAAGAATCCTGTCCAAGCCGGTCAATCGAGCATCGTGCTTGCAACTGGGAGGGGTGAAGGGGGCTAACCCCCCCCCCCCTCCCCCACTCTCCCGTCCCTCAGCTTCTTTTTAAAAGAGGCGAGCTTAAGAGATGTGATCAACCGCCATCCCCTAATTTGGGGGGGCGGGCTTAGGAAGGGTGATTATACCGCATTTACCTGATGAAGGGCGCGTTTACTGAGTTGATCAACCGCCATCGTCTAATCAGGGGGGCGGGCTCAGGAAGCGTGATCAGCAACACTACTGGCGGGATTAGAAGACCGCACGGACGAGCTCGACGTCATAATTACAATGGCTCTGCTAGGGTTTGAGTTTGAGGAGCTCTGAGCGGATTGAATTGCAAGGCGTCAACCCAAAATCGTCCTTCGAGCGTTTCGAGGGCCGGAATCAGATAAGGGTTGCGTTTGGCAGGGTTGCCATGGGCTTAGCTGGTGCAGCTAGTGAAGGTCTCGCGACTTCAAGACAGGTGCCCGATCGGGCCCGATCTGTACTGCCACTACCAACTGTGCAACCGAACCCCTAGCGACGGCAACGGCTACTACTATATTCGAATGACTATGACTATTGCTACTCCTGAGTTACTCGTCTTCTACTACTCCTACTACCTACCTACCTACCTACCTCCCTACCTACCTACCTGCCTTCCTACCTACCTACCTACCTACCTGCCTACCTACCTACCTACCTACCTACCTCCCTACCTACCCTACCTGCCTGCCTGCCTGCCTGCCTGCCTACCTACCTACCTACCTACCTCCCTACCTCCCTACCTCCCTACCTCCCTGCCTGCCTGCCTACCTACCTACCTACTTACCTACCTACCTACCTACCTACCTACCTACCTACCTGCCTCCTACCTACCTACCTACCTACCTACCTACCTACCTACCTACCTACC